CGGGCGGCCCCGCGCTGCTGGGCCCTTGTGTAACCCTCGCCGGGGAGGTGTTTGTGCCTCCAAGGACACCGAGATGGGGGACTCGCAAGGGGACCTGCCCTTAGGGGACCGCCGCACAGCCTGGGAACACAGCACCCCTGAGCTTATTTCCGCTGGGAGCCACCATCTAAGCCAGAAGCGGCACTAAGAGTCTGGGCATTCAAAGCCACAAGCGGCACTAAGAGTCTGGGCATTCAAAGCCACACAGCCCTGTTAGACTCCAGCACCCCCAGTGCGCAAGCCCTAGTAGCAGCCACTTCTTTAATCACTCAGGAACACCTAGGAACTACTTTTGTTTTGAGATATCCCACAAAACCTGAAGACAGCAGCGATCCCTACCAATCTCTCCCTGCACAGCTCACATTTTGCCAAGCATCAAGCCGCAGCCACCAAGGCTTCTCATCCATCCCTCGGTATTAACAGACACACGTCCTACAGCCCCAGTCGCGTAGCTGAAGTGCTCATTCCCGACAGAGCCAACCCCGAGGCACACGCAGTTCACCCCTAAGGCCACTCAGGCCCAGAATAGCCCTAATGGTGTCTTAACACTTGTCATTGCTCCGGGTGGCAGGCGTTAGTACAAGTCAGCAAGAGGGCAAGGCTTTTATTTGCAGCTAATCGCAGCTGAAGGGACGATATCTGCCTGGGGAAACGCAGCATCCTGCACAGGAAGGCAGGGCTTTGGAGCTCCCTGATGATGGAGAGGTCCTTGATGGGCAGGGGCTCATGCACGGGGCAGCAGAACACGTCTCCACATCTCCCATACCAACATCCCTATGCAGAGCATCCCCACCACAGAATCTCACAGCACTTACCTTGTCTCAGGAGCCCTAAAAACATTATCCTCTCCCCCACCTGCTTCTTAAGAAGGTAGTGCTCAGGCCCTCGCCATGTCCCCTAAACCCCCATGAGCAAGTACCTGCTTTGGAGCGCCTTCCAGCACCACGCCGGCTCCGGTCACCCCGTTCTTGTCCCGTTTTGGTGGCAAATCATTTTGAGGGAAGTCCCTGTTAAGAAAAGGAAAACCTTGAGCCACGGTAGCAGCATTCGCTACATTAATTACATACACAAGCAGTCTCTGCTGCACCTTGGCTCCAATTCTCCCCTCCTGGACTTCGTTTGGCACCTCACGTATTAGGAGGACAAATTGGAACTTCATGCATTTTTCATATACACTTAATCACTTGGCAAAGACCACAAAAACATCCCCATTAAGGGGAGTTTTCACTAAATACTGTCTCCATTAAGCAACAGCCATTGCCTGCTCCTCGGTCAAACCGGTTTTCAGGGAAGGTGCCACAGCACAAGGGCTTTGCGACACACGTCCCTGCTACTCGACCAGTGTCCCCACCAGCAGAGAAGGGTTTCTCGTGTTAGAGAGAGCAACGGCCTGAACTCAAAGTGTTCTTTAGAGCATGTTTCATAGCAAGCAGCCTGATAGACAAGACACCAGGAACCCTACCCGCAGAGATAGCTGGAAAGCAGAAACACAGCCCCTTGCTTGGTAGCCCAGCGGTAGCCATGTTACTGCACCACCCCAGGGGGACCTTAATGAGATCATTAGCAGCAGGTGGTGGTTCCTACCCACAGGGATGCCTAGGCCTGGCTCAGGGGAACACCTGGGCCTCCTAACCCAAAGACTTACAAGGCAAGGCATCCTTAAGGCAAAGCATCCCTCAGGCAACAACACTTTAAGTCTCAAAAAAGCAAAAAAAGCCCCATTCAGTGGCCTGGAGCTGCTCGAAAGCTCCTGCTAAGCACAAGCTTCCTCCTGCAGAGGAGCAAACCTTACCCCCTCTCCAGCCGGCCTCTAAATGGAGGTTGGGTGCCCACTCGGTTGCCCCGGGGTCATGTGGCTGTGGCCCTAACGAGGGCCACCTGTGCCCTGCGGCTAATCAGGTTGTCCCTGACTGCTGGCCTTGGTGCACAGCTGGGCTTGACGAGCTCCAGGCCCCTTCCTTTGACTGAATAGGCCATTTTTGGCCCCAGAAAAAGAGTTTTAGAGGCTTTTTGAGTTAAAATAAAGCCAGGGGAGGAATCCCATGGGTATTATGCCTTTGTTGCTGCCCCGGCATCACGTTTCTTGCAGAAAAAAAAGGCAAAACACTGCCGAAAATGCCGTAGGGTTGGCGCCACAGTGCTCTTGGCCTAGGGACTGGTTCGGAGAGCAACCAGCACACCTCGCCTTTGCCTTTCCCTAGGGAAAACAGGAAAATCTTCCTCCTGAAGGTCTTCCTCAGGGAAAAGCAGCTCAGCGGGGCCGCTCGCTCCTTTCTCTTGCACAACAGCCCCCCCCCACACCATTCCTTTGCCCTCCAGCATGAAAACGAGCGAATAAAAGCCAGCTTTTGGGGGAAAACAAGCACCCACGTCCCAGCAGGGCCACGATCGGGTGCTGCTGCTGCGCGTGCTTGGGGCAGCGGGCAGGCGAAGCACGGGGAGGCTCCGGGTTGGGAAGCAGCCCCAGCTCCTGCTTCTCCCGCTGCTGCTCGTGGGGTGCGTGGGCTCGCGCTGTGGCATGGACGGGAGTCACCAGCGGCGACACGGCTAGTGACAGCAGGGACAGTGCCTTGCCACCCGGCGCCGCTTTCTGCTTGGCATTTTCTGCTTCTGCCGTGCGTGAACCTGTTACATAAGCGGGATTTGCAGACTTCTGCCTCACTCCCCGCCTCCCCCTCCTTCCCCAGAATAAAACCCTTGTTTTTTTTCCCCACATTTTACTTGCCCATTGCAGGAGCTCAAGCAGGCCCCTGGGGCAGTGATGCTCTGGGCTGCAGCATCCCTGCCAGGGCTTCCCCCTAGAAACCAGCCCTTCCTGGCCTGCCCTGCTCACATGCTGCTGCTTGATACACATACACGGGGGAATCACTGCTGCGGGGGGTTAGGAACATTTGGGAAAGCAGAGTGATGCTCTCATGGTTTTGTCTGGGACAAAAGAGCTGTGGAAAAGGGGATCTTCTTTTTTCTTTGGCCCTTCTTATATTTGGGCTGGATTTGAGATCACTTCTTGTCCCTGGCTTTTAGCTTCTGTTTTTCACCCATTCCCTATTGTGTCGAGGAGGAACAGGAGGAAAACTCACCCCTGCAGGCACATTACTCTGGTGCCTTTACATGGTAGATGAGCAAGGTGATGCTCAAATAGAGAAGACATTGCTTAACCTCAGCCATTGCGCAGTTTAAATTAAATTAAATTAAATTAAATTGTACTCAAATGTATTAAATTAAATACTTGGTGAGACCCTACTGCCGGGGGCAGCAGTGGGTTTGGGGTGTGCAGCGATGCTCAGGGCAAGGGCAGCGGCTTTGTGCTGCTCTCGCTCCCCAGCACGAGGATGCTCGCAGCAGCATCCCGCGTACAGCACGCCGCACAGAAAGCAGAGGGGCTCATTTTTAACTCTGCTTTTAATGTATCCAAGCACCTGTCCATTGAGCTGTGCAGCCCTCCCGTGAGGTGTGCTAAGTCTGGACTCCCCATGTCCATGTGCTTTTGCTCCTCCATCACTGCAGTGCTTCTGCATCCTCTCTGCCAGCTCTCCTCCCGGCTCTGCCCTTCCCAGTGCGGCGCTCATGGCTCCGTGTCCCTCTCCCTGTGCTGCAGGTCAGCCTGAACGACTCCCACAACCAGATGGTCGTTCACTGGGCGGGCGAGAAGAGCAACGTCATCGTGGCCTTGGCCAGAGACAGCCTATCCTTGCTGGGGCCCAAGAACAGTGACGTGAGTGTGCGAAGCGGGCACGTCCGGAGGGGTGCTGGTGGCTGCGGTGCTGGTGGCTCCTCGGCCCCACAGGGAGGGTGGCATCCCTGCGGCTTGAGTCTCCCAGGCACAGGATGGCCAGACATCCATCCCCCATGCCGGAGCCTTGGGGCAGCAGGACGGGCTGGAGCAGCCGCCTGGGTCTCTGCTGACCAGGCAGGAGCGGCAGCCAGGAGGCAGGAGCGGGCCAAAAATCGGGAGTCATTATAGTGGCTGTGCTCCTACACCTCCCTTCCAGCTCTCCTGCAAACCCTGCTGCAGAGCTGCCGAAAAGCAGCTCCCTGGAGCGTAAGGAGCAGTGATGCTCACGAGAGGTGGCAGCGCTGGAGACGGCGGCCCTGCCTTCATCCTGCTGCTCTGTGGCCTCTTCCACCTGCCCTGCTGCAGTTTCCTGAAATATCTGTAAACAGGAGGAAGAGCCGGGTTGGGAAGCACATGTTCCTTGTGCTACAACTGCTCCTTTGCAGGTCTACGTGTCCTACGACTACGGGAAGAGCTTTAAGAAGATTTCAGAGCGATTCAGTTTCAGCAACGGGAACACGAGTGAGGTGGCCATAGCCCAGTTCTACCACAGCCCGGCCGACAACAGGAGGGTAAACTGAAATAACTCACTTGTCCACGCGTTTCAGTACAGACAACAGTGTTTACTGAGGTTTCAGCTACACACAGGTCACCGCTCGTCTGCCTTAGCTCTCACTCGCGCCATTCCCTCTCTTCCCAGTACATCTTCGTGGACGCCTTCGCCCCGTTCCTCTGGATCACCACTGACTTCTGCCGCAGCGTGCAGGGCTTCGCGATTCCCTTCCGGGCGGCGGAGCTGCTCCTGCACGGCCGCAGCCCCAGCCTCGTCCTGGGATTCGACCGCTCGCATCCCAACAAGCAGGTGAGGCCCTCTCGCCGGCCTCGCGCCGTGAGGCTCTTCCCTCTCCATCCCAGCTCCTTCCTTAAGGCAGTGATGGCTTGCAGCCCTGGTCTGGTGCCTGGGGAAGGGGTCTGGGGCCTGCCCGTGTGCTTAACAGCAGTCTGCTTCGAAAGAAGCTGCGGCCGGTGGGGCCGCAGGATGCGCGGGTATCCCACGGGTATCTCTCATCTTTGTAATTGCAGCTCTGGAAATCAGATGATTTTGGCCGGACGTGGATAATGATTCAGGAGCACGTGAAGTCTTTCTCGTGGTACGTGCCTCACGCTGGCGTTCCTGTGTCTCCCCTTGCAGCATCCAGCCCTCAGCTCCCTCGCTGCCTTGCAGGGAGCGAGCAGCAGGAACTGAGCATCCCCTCGCTGGGTGCCAAAACAGAGGGCAGGGGGCTTCTCCTAGCAGAGTATTTTCCTTGTACCCATAGTAAAAGACACAGTACAAGTGTAGGCCCAGGCAGCCTGCACTGCGGTCCCTGCACTGGGGTCCCTGCACTGGGGTGCTGGGTCTCCCCTGTGTGGGAAGTTGCAGGGACTCATCCCTTGGCCTTCCTAGGAAAACCGCTCATCCCAGGCTCACCATCTTTCTGGGGAAATTGCCTTCTAGCAAATCAGCTGTCTCTACCACGCAGGGACAGGGCTCGGCTCCCTCTGCTCCTTATCCCCACCATCTCTGTAGCTGAGCCACAAGCCTTGCAGCATTCAAACTGGCTGTTTCATCTAGATTTCCAGCTCCTCCCTTCAAGGTCACATAAGAAGGGACAGAACTAAACAATCAGAGATTGAAAGATCTCCAAACCAGCTACTCCTGACTTTAGCTAACATGAGAAACACAGAGACCCAGATAAAACAGCGAGGCATCTCCACACATATATGGATTGCATTCCATAAATCAGATGCAGTCTCTCTTTCCTGGGGTTTTCCCAAATTTCTGGCAGGCGATCAGCTGACAGTGTGCAGGTAATAAAACACCTTTTTTTTGTTGCTGTTGGTTGTTTTTTCTCCCCAGGGGTGTGGAGCCTTTCGATAAGCCAAACACGGTGTACATAGAGCGGCACGAACCTTCTGGGGCCTCCACTGTCATTCGCAGCACTGATTTCTTCCAAACCCGAGAAAATAAAGAGATAATCCTGGAAGAGGTGGAGGACTTCCAGCTCAGGGACAAGTATCTGTTTGCCACAAAGTCTGTGGTGAGTAAATCCCTGCGGAGTGGGGAAGGCGAGCGGCACTTGAGCAACCATCCCCAGCCGCTTGCTGTGCCCCTTGCTGGATTGGCCCTTTTTCATAAACCCTGCTCTGAACTGAGGCCCGCGTCCAAAACCTGGGGGTGAAGCTCCTGCCTCCTGCACCCCGTTGCTCACTCTCCCGCTGGGCCCTGCGCCGCGGCGGGGCGGGCAGCGCCTACGGCCGCGCTCAGAGACCTCCCCGCGCTTGATGCCGCGAGCGAGGCAGAAGTAGGTCAGGCTGCAGAGTGCGGAAAGCCGGGAAGGAGCGGGAGCGGCCTGCGCGGAAGGGCAAGGCGCAGGGTGGCAGTGTGCGGGGTGGCAGCTCCCTGCTTACGAGACCCCTTGCTAAGGGTGGTTGCTGTCAAAAGTGGAGCGGGTCCAAGCAGGCTGGGTCTGTCCCCAGAGCTGGGAGGTGCGTGCACTGCTTTTCCCCACACTGCTGCCAGAGGGTGTTTTATATAAGCCCCTTGCCATTAAAGCACTCAGCCAGCTCCGACCCCGCTGTGCCTGAAGGAGGACGTGCTTGAGGAGCACTTGCAGTTTATCAGAGATGCCTCGTGCAGGCAGTCTGCAACTTGTGGGGCTTGGCAATCTGCCTGATCAGCAGCCCGCTGTGGTTCGGAGAAGATTTTATCTAGGTTTCCTGTTGGTGTGGGGTAGAAACGTGGAGGATGGTATGTGTGGGTAGAGGAACCACACCGTGCATGGGTCAGACTCAGGATGGAGAGCCCTAGAAACGTGCGGGAGGATGGGAAAATCATCACCTTTTAGAGCTGGGCGGAGGACCTGTGGCTCGTGGCTTCTCCTCCTTTCTGTGGGAGTCCCAGTTGCTTAGCAATACAGACCCTGGGAAAATCAGGCCACTTATTTTTGGAGCCTAAATCTGGGTTTAGATTCTTACCTTAGACACCCCGTGTGAAAAGCATCGCCCCCACTTTTATTCCTCTTCCCCTTAGCGCTCGTGGCGTTTAATTGCCTCCGAGCACTAGAAGTGTGAAGGAAAGCGCGGAAACAGCCATGCAGCAAGCAGAGGTATTAAAGGCAGCCTTCTTACCTCCTCCTGACCTGGGGTGGGGGGAGGACGGTGGGAGGAAAGCTCCTGGTTAGCAATGCTAATCAGCAGGAGCCAGTATTTCCAGCTTCCAGGATGCCAATAAGGACAATCAGCCACTTAAAGACACAGCTCCAACGAGCTGGTGTCTCGGGATGAGCTCCGAGTTCCCGTGCAGGACTGTGTGACACAGGGCTTTCCCAGGGCCCCTTCCCCGGGGCTGCGCTCTCGGCAATAGCAGTGAGCGCGCCCGCTTCCCCACGCAGCGCGCGCAGGGAGCACCTCAGTGCTGGCCGAGCTCCGGCCTGTTGTTTGGCACCGGGCAGGTTTGCGTGTCATCTGTGCTTACTTGCAGCCCAGCCGTGTGGTTTATGGACTTCTCCCTGGCTGCTTTTTGGCTGGTAGGGGCTGAACGTGCCTCTCACGCTGCCCTCTGCTCTCCTGCAGCGCCCGCCAGGCAGCTCGCAGCCGGCCTCCGTGCAGCTCTGGGTGTCCTTCAACCGCAGGCCCATGCGGCTGGCCCAGTTCGTCACCAAGCATCCCATTAAGGTGAGTGGGGTTTGCCCAGGGGACCTCGTCCTTTCCCAAGGATGCCCTTGCACAGAGGGGGCACTTCTGCATTGCACCGGATGCCACGAGGAAGGGCGTGCAAGGAGCCCCGTTTTACGCACCGCGGGGTACAGGGCTTGGCCCCTTCGCAACAGGGTGAAAGCTGATGCAAACACAACCTTGCAGTTTAACAAAGGTGACTTTATTCAAGTGAATCACAAACTCGTTTAAGCAAAGGTAACTTTATTCAAGTGATGGGACGCTAGGTCCCTGAGCGTGCGCTGGATGCACGGGTCTCCGAAGCTCCTCCGTCGGGGATGGAGGAAAGCCGCAGCGATGTGCTTGGTGTTTGGCAGGGAGGCAGGGGACGGAAAGGGCAGAAAGAGGAATTTTAGTTACCTACAAGGAATGCTAAATCAACCCATAAGCAAGCCCTGCTTGCAGACTGATGCATATAAAGCCTGCCCATCTGTCATTTGTGTCCCAAAGGAGTATTACATCGCGGACGCCTCCGAGGACCAGGTGTTCGTGTGCGTCAGCCACGACAACAACCGCACCAACCTGTACATCTCGGAGGCGGAAGGCCTCAAGTTCTCTCTGTCTTTGGAGAACATCCTCTACTACAGCCCTGGAGGCGCGGGCAGCGACACCTTGGTCAGGTAACTTTGGATGCCCCGACGAGCGTTAGGGCTGTGTGGCTCGATGGCAGAAGTCGCGTTGTCCCCTCTACAGTATAACTGGTGCGGGGAACAAAGAATATTGGGCAAGGTCTGCTGTGTGCAGCTTTCTGCTCCATCTATCCAAGCATTCCCTCAGAGCAGCGGCCGTTGAGGGCTGGGGCCGATGGCATCGCCTGCGCGTGTCCCTGCAGGTATTTCGCCACCGAGCCCTTTGCTGACTTCCACCGCGTGGAGGGCGTGCGTGGCGTGTACATCGCGACGCTGCTTAACGGCTCGCTGAGCGAGGAGAACATGCGCTCCGTCATCACCTTCGACAAGGGCGGCCCCTGGGAGCTGCTGCGCCCGCCGGCGCGCACGCGCTACGGC